TGCTTTTAGTTTTGACGCGAGATTAGACATTTCCATAATGTACTCCCTTATGTTTCCTTTACCTTTGTATCTCATAGAGATAAGTTTAGCAAGCAAACTGCTTGCATCAGCTTTCTCATTACTGGTGAAATACTGCTCAACGGCATCAAGGAAACCTTTAGTATTGTGGCTCTCAGAAATAGAGCCCTGAAAAACTTATGGAACAGATCGCTTCATGATCATCAAACACATTCGGTTTGAGCGTTCCCACTTTTCAGCCTTATCCTCATCCGGGTTTTCCGGATTTGGAGTGGGTTTCTCAGCCCGAAGTGCAAGATCAAGATCCATGCAGCCAAGAATTATCTCAACTGCTTCCTTCCAGGCCTTAAAGTTTGTCCCATTAAGCATAGGTATACAATTAATTTGAGCAGATAAGTTAACAGCACTAGCAACAACAACTGTAATAGAACATAAAAAAATTTAATTTAATTACATGCTCACAGTAAAATAAAATAAATAAAACATGCAGATTATTTACATAATAGACCCATTACAAGATACCGAGCACAACATTAATTCTTTGTCTTTGGACATACAAATTAACTTGTTAGTGGTACTCTCAGTGCAACGATCAAATATTGACAATTAATTCTGTCAAATAATAGCCTTTCTTTGGACCGACTATTATTCACATGATTGTAACTTTATAATTGTCACATATTTATCATCACAGACATGTTATTATTTGGCTAAATTGTGTCTTCCTTTGGGATGAGCACAAATCGCATAAATAATCTCATACTAACATCTATTATAATTTTTTTAATCAAATTAACTTCTATAATAGGGATTTCTTTGACAATATATTACATCATTTTATTTAATTAAAAAATTATCAGACAAATTAATTAATAAAGAGATTCTATAATCTGTCAACATTCGCACTCAAATTTGATATATAAAAAAAATATCAATTTAAATTTGAACATAATATCAATCAAATTTTAAGAAAATAATTCTTACGCGAATGCTATTAAAAAAAATCGTATATTAATCATATAATATAACAACAATGATTTTGACAAAAAAAACAAAAAAAATCCCACTTCTGGTGGTACTCAAAGGATCAAACACAATATTATTTTTTCCACTTCTGGTGAGAAAAATATTCTTTTATTTCATTGTTGCACAATTAACTCACTTCTGGTGAGAAAATATTCCTTTATTGCATTTTTGCACAATTAACTCACTTCTGGTGAGAAAAATATTTCTTTATTGCATTGTTGCACAATTAACTCACTTCTGGTGAGAAAATATTCCTTTATTTCATTTTTGCACAATTAACTCACTTCCGTTGAGAAAATTAAAAATTCAAAAAATTTCTACATTTGACAATGTCTTCAGGATCATTGCAAAATTGTTACATATACAAATTTATAACATTCACAGAAAATTATACAATTTCACAAAAATTCTCTTTAATAAAAATTCAATTTTTAATCGATCTCTTTATCCGTATAATCAATTAAACCAAATTGAAGCAAAAAAAAAGACCAACGCATTCAAATACACGTATTATCAATGAAGAGAGAAAAAAAAATTGTAACAATACACTTTAGAACCCCATAACCTAATAACAACGGCGACTCTGATACCACTTGTTGGGATAAATTTCTTAAGCCAAATAGAAATTTTTCATGAATCAATATTAAGAACCTTTGTCTCAGATTACAGAGTTAATGATAATAATACGTACCTGTATCCATTGACGTTGATCAAAAGGTTGCAGCGGAATAGTCTTTTGGTACAATGATCTTCCTCAGCCAAATCACTGGATTCCTTGATGGGACTTGATGTTACTCTTCTGATGGGGAGACAAAGAGACGTGTGTTTCTAATTTGACATATTGGGGACCATGACCATCTTTATGATTTTAAACCTATTAGGGTTCCCATTAACCCCTAACGGGCCAAATCTGGTTTCCACTTATTTAGGCCCATATCAGTTTTTTCTGTTGGCAGTCTAAAGGCTCACTAAAATTAGATCACTTTTATTGAGCCCAACCAAATGTAAATAACTAATATAAATACTACAAATAATATATATAGCCCACAATAATTATTAGAAATAAAATTTCTAACATGTTAATCTCACTATTTTAATCATTTGTATTAAATTTCGAATGGGAAACTAAGATTCACTCAATATGTGCATAAATATAACATCAAATAAAGCACCTAATTTTTCTAAATACTAAATTACTAGGTAGACATTAATTATATCACAAATTATTAATAAAATACAAATATATAACATATATATACAAGGGGTCTAATTTTCTAAGTTGGGTACCTAATTTGTCTATATAAAGCAATGGTGAGTCAAAAAAGAAATTATAAAGGTGCACACTTTGGAATAGGCCGTTCCTAAACTGGAACAGGCCGTTCCGGAATCTGAAAAATGCCTAAAACTTTAGTCTGGAATGGCCCTAGAACGGCCCGTTCTACTTGCAAAACGGGCTATTTTGTTTGCAGAACGGGCCGTTCTGCATTCTGCACGAGCCGTTTTGCATGCAGCACGGGCTGTTTTGCAAGTAGAACGGGTCGTTCCAGACTCAAAATTCGCCCAACAACAACGAAATAAGAGACATGAGAAGAGAATGTTACCTTGTTATTGTATTCTTCCAAGAAAATGAGAAGCTGCACACTTTAGATGAGAGCCCGAGAGAGTAAAGAGAATAATATATGCACTATTGAAGCAAAATATTAGAGAATGGAGCTAGGAAGAGAATGAGAGTGTAGAGCGTAGATTAAGTCTCTGATGCTACTTTTAAAATCGGCTCTTCAATAGTCGATTTTAAAATTGGCTATTTAAGAACCGATTTTAAAAACTACATACAAAATCGGTTCTTCAAAAGTCTATTTTAAAAGTGGCACTTTTAAAATCGGTTATTCAAGAGCCGATTTTAAAAGTAGTGCCATTATTTATAAAATTGCCACCGCGTCACTTTTAAAATCGACTACCTTATGATCGATTTTAAAACCTCAATTTTAAAAGTCATTTTTGTACTAATACATCCTAATTATGTTGGTCAGGGGTGAGGGAAGAGGAGAACATGACGTGTTGGGAAGTAGGGAAGTTAGTGTGTCGTGAATAGGGGAAGAGGAAAGGAGTGATGCAAGGGGACATGCACGAGGGAGTGGG